TTATTTTACTGTGAACGATTTATTTTTTAATTGACAAGTTTGGTTCTGACTTCTGTTCAAGTTCTTCAGATTGCTTCAGTTCCCCACCCCCTCTCATTTTCAGGAAGTATTTTTATGATCATGGCCTTGTGGCTCCCGGTCCACCTGCAACTCTGGGATCCTCATGATAGACTGAATAGTTTGGTTCTCAAGAAGAAGGCAGAGAGTTTTCGATTTTTAGAAAACTAAACGGGACAGCTGTGGTTCTCCGAGACGTTCTGCCTCTCGGTGAGGGTAAACTCAAATGATGTGCATCTCCTCTGCTGCTGCCTGACTGAACGACTGCTCCAACTCAAAAACACAGATTCCAAACAGATGTTCTCCAAGTTGTGGCTGTGTGATAGAAATGTTCATCACTGATGTGTATGGTGACCAAAGCTGAAATCAATGAGTCCTAATAAAGGTATAAATCTTGGAATGAATCTCAACTCTGAAAATCTCCTTATTTTCATATTTTGATTTATTTTACTTTTTTAATTTGTCAGTTCTTTCTTAAACTTTTGCTGCATTCTGTGATGAAAGAATAATTACTGATGTAATTATTGGTAAAAGGCAGCTGAACACTTTGAATGTCAAATACTATGAAAGAGTAATTGTTTAGATTAAACATGCACCAAAAATACTAAGTGTGGGGTACCTTTTGAAAAGTTAAACAGTGTGTTCATATATAATCTGACTCCAGCAATGTCTGTATATCACAAATACATGTGGCTGCTCAAATTTCTTTTGTAGCCACACCTTATTTATCTTGTGTCCACAAGATCGTCATGTCTGGGCACACATTATTTTTTATTTTTTGCTTATCCAATGTCATCAGATGGGCACCATACTTTTCTTTCACCCTCCTAACATGTAAAAACAATAGGAAATTTTAAAATGTACTACACTGCTCAAAAAAATAAAGGGAACACTTCAACGCACGCTAACTCCCGATCTTAATCAATGAAATATTCGCATTGAGTACTTTGTTCTGTACAGAGTTGAATGTGCTTCACAAAAGTTTGATTTGTTTGGACTTAGCGTGCGTTGTTTAAGTGTTCCCTTTATTTTTTGAGCAGTGTAAATATTTTTAGTAGTATTGGGGAGTGATAAAAAATTAATCAAGTTACAGACTTTGCAATTAATTCATCTCGATTAATCACAATTTACCCCTGGAGGGTGCATGGGAGTTCGCCCAACCTGTCTACATGTGTTTTGTGGACTTGGAGTAGGCGTTCGACCGTGTCCCAAGGGGGGCCTTGTGGGG